GATATAGTTTTGCGCAAAAAAAAGTTTGCATGCAAAATAGTCCATAGCATATAGCACTATAGATTTACGCGCCTATATCGCGAGTTGCATCACATCTGACAGACTAGCAGATCGGCAACTCCATCACTTGACTATCAGTTATCGGTTTTATCATGTGATACAGACATTAGATTTTTTATTAATTCATTCTGCGTTTGATTATCTTCCAATTTCGCAATTATGGCCTTAAGCTCAGCATTCCTGGCTTCAATCTCAGCAAACTTCTTTCTAAGTTCGGCATTCTCGACTTCGAGCCTGGCAATGTATATTTTCAATGAATCGGTCTCATCTGTTTCGGATTGCATACTAGCGTAATGTAGTATTAGTATGACAATATTCAAAAGTAAAAAATCACGTGTGCGTTTCATTTCGTAACGCCGATCACTTTGCCAAGAAAAAAAAAACAGTTCCCTGAGGGAACGATCAGAGTCATATGTTTTCCGAGACCGCACGGTCCCGCAAATTTGCCAAGAAAAGTTTTATTATCCGGTGCATATCCCACACAAAAAAAAATACAGATGAATATAAAAATAATCGGCCACCAGGGTACTTTATTGATGATACAAAATAATAATGGTACATAATATGAATTATAAAAAAGAAACTTTAATCATCCCGCATCGGGGTAGAAACTGTAGTACTATCTTCTTTTTGTCTTTCTGATATGGAAATGGATGCGTGATATAGTAGGGACAAATTTGTAATTAATATGTTTCGTAAAAGTAAAAGGGTTTCTACAAATTTAGTTACAACAACCACATCTGACAATCGCACAGGAATTTCAGCCGATTGTAAATGAAAATATCTATGAACGTTCGCTTTATCTCTAATAAGTACATTCAGATGCAACATATTCCCAGCTACTTGCACTCCAACTATTCCAAATTGATCTTTCTCCGGTTTAAGGACTTTGCGAACCCAGAACATTCCATCATTACTTTCTCTCCATAGCTTTATCTCATCATCTATCTTTTTCTGTTGACTACAGTATAATCGTGAACATTCGACATACATAAGCTCGAAGAAAACATCTAAATATTTTATCACATACATAATATCTGGTCGTCTTCCCACCTGCCCTTCACCTTTCCTATCCGCACTAGCAATACTCTGTCGTTCGGAAGTACTGATAAATGAGGACAGTCTAAAAGGAAGGTTTTTTAATATTGCTCGAATAGACAATAGAATAACTGTTGATTGATAGGTTCCTTCATTTAGTGATTTTGCAAGCTCGGAATTAAAAGCTGGGTTAATCCAAATATCTTCCAGAAGAATTAAAACTTCTTTTATAACATCTGCGATTTTTTCTTCCGATTCTTTCCAGGACCTATCGTGAATTAGTTTATCTGGTATTGTATTCTGAATATTACGATCGACAAAACTTGTTACGAAATTTTCACACATCTCTTTAACTATCATCATAGGAGCAGGCGTCATTTGCCGAGCAGGTTTCTAATATAAAATATATGTTATATTTATTCTCAAAAAACCTTCAACGAATTTATGGTTACCTACCTTAAATGCTTTTTTTAGATTTGATGGCAACTGCTTGATAACTTCTGATTGATCGCTAATAACTCGGCTGGCCAAAGGATCCTTC